GTTATATAAGGATGTCACTTTGGATTCAGTGGCCTCTGCCTTTGTGGCAGACCCAAATTTGGATGATTTGTAAGGTGTAAGGGTGCATGATTATTTGCATAACATTCGAACAATGATTATTATTGCTTGTTTTAGATTATTATTATTATTATTATTTGTTGTTTGAAAAGTGTTATGTGAAATATGTTGATATATCAGATTTAGAATTTATGCGATGCATTTAGATTATTTGTATATGTAATATTTTGCATTCGGAGTAGATCAAAATTCGAATGAAATATTTTATCATGTTATATTGGGTTTGGATTGATAGGGGAAGTTTAGTGTATTCACTTGATGTGTTGAATGTCACTTCGAATTAAATGGCCTTTGTCTTTGTGGCAGACCCTACTTCGGATGGTGTGTTGTAGTTAGTGGTTGTATGGAACATACGTTTCGGACGGTGTGTAAGGTGTATGGGTGCATTATCATTTACATAATATACAGACTGTGATTATCATTGTTTGATTCGATCTATGATGTGAATTGTGACTTTATGCACTTTAAAGACATCGTGTGAATCTTTTTGTCAAGGTGTCACTATAGGATGTTATACTTTGTTTGTGAGGTTTCTGATTGACTTACATTTTCACTTTTTTATTACGATCGTGTGATTATTTGTTGTTTGGTATTTTGTTCAAAAAATGCTACGTGAAATAATTGATATATCAGACTTAGAATTTATGTGATGTATTCAGATTATTTGTATAGGTAATATGCTTACACTCAGATGAAATTTGTTATAATGTTTTATTGGGTTGAGATTGATAGGAGAAGTTTCGTGTATTTATTCGATGGGGTGAAATTCACTTCGAATTCAGGGGTTTATACTTTTGTAGCGAATCCTACTTCGGATGGTCTATTAGAGTTAGAGTGGTTCTGAAAACTTTCTCTTCGAACGATGCGTAAGTCGTATGGGTGCATGATCATTTGCATAATATTAGGACTGATTAATGTTTGATTTGGATTATGATTATTATTGGTTGATATGGACTATGATATGAATTTTGATTTTATGCTATTTAAAGATATTGTGCAAATCGTTGGTCGTTGTTATAATATTTTCTCATGGTTTATCTCTCTAGGGTGTTGTATTTTGTTTCTGAGTTATGTAATTGACTGACATTTTTTTTTTATTATGAGCATGATTGTTTTTTTTGTTTGGAAAATGTTATGTGAAATCTTTTTATATTTCAGACATAGAATTTATGCGGTGCATTTGTATTATTTGTATATGTAATATTCTTCCATTTAGATGAAATATGTTATCAATTTATATTGGGTTGGGGTTGATACAGAAGTTTTAGTGTATTCACTCTATAGGGTGAATGTAACTTCAGATTAAGGGGCATATGCCATTTTGGGGGACCACACTTCGGATGGTGTGTTATAATTAGAGTGGTTCTCGGACTTTACTCTTCGAACAATAAGTTGTATATGTGCATGATCGTTTGCGTAGTATTCAGACTCTGATTATTAATGTTTAATTTGGAATATGTTTTTTATTGTTGTTTCGGGTTATGATGTGAATTGTGATTTTGCACTTTAAAGATTGAGAATTGTTGGTCGCTGTTAGAATATTTTGTCAAGGTATGTATTTATAGGGTGTTATATTTTGTTTGTGAGTTAGCTGATTAATTAAAATTTTCTTTATTTATTGCGCTCATGAATATTTTACGATTAATGATTATCTGATATTTTGTTCAGAAAATGTTGTGTGAAATATGTTGATATATCGGACTTGGAATTTATGCAATGCATTTGAATTATTTTTATATTTACTTTTTTTACATTTGGATCAGATTAGTGTTCGAGTGAAATATGTTATCATGTTATATTGAGTCTTGATTGATAGTTCAATGTATTCACTCGACATAGTGAATGTCACTTCAAATTCAATGGCCTTTTCCTTTGTGTCGAGCCCCACTTTAAATGGTCTGTAAGGTGTATGGGTCTATGAGTATTTGTATAATATTTGGAATATGATTATCGTTGTTTGATTTTGTCAAGGTGTGTCCCTATAGGGTGTTATATTTGGTTTGTGAGTTTTTTTATTGGGTGTCATTTTCTTTGTTTATTGCGAGATTTATTGTTTTACGATTATTAGTTGTCTGGTATTTTGCTCAAAAAACGTTATGTAAATATGTATATATATATTGTACTCAGAATTTATGTGATGCATTTGAATTATTTGTATATATAATATTCTTACATTCGGATCTGATTAGAATTCGAATGAAATATATTATCATGTTATATATTGTTTGGATTGATAAGAGAAGTTCAGTGAATTCATATGACGGGGTGAATGTCACTTAGAATTTTGAAATTAATGGTATATGTTTTTTGTGATGGAGCTCATGGGATTTCAAAAAAGTCTGATTGTAAATCAGATTTTCTGGTCCCATCCCCCTACGGGATTTCTAAAGCTGAACGTGGATGCTGCTATTAATGGTGATTGGAAGGCTTGCGATTTAGGAGGGATTCTAAGAGACGAGTCTGGCACAGTGTTAGTATCTTTTCAAGAAGCTGCTGGTCCGGGTCCTTCTTTAATGGAATTTATGGCCATTAAACATGGTTTAATTTTCTTTGAATCTTCTAGCTGGTGCTCTAAGAGACGGTTGATTATTGAGAGTGATAGTAAGTTGTCTGTGGAGTGGATTAAGAAATTGCGGATAAGATAAGGAACTTGGAGGGCGTTATTCGTTGGATAGCTAGGCTAGCAAACTTAGAGGCAGACGTTTTAGCAAAGTCTGAAATTGGCTAAGATAGAGAGTTTTGGTTTGGTTTTGCTTTTTTCTCGTTTTTTGGTTTTATCTATTGTACGGGGGAAAAGTTTGGTTTTAGCAAAATCCCAAATACATTGTGATGAATGTAGATGCGGCCATGTTTCTTGATTTTTTTGGGTTTTTAAAAATTTGATTTATTTTCTGATTATATATTTGGGATTTTGTTTTTTTTCCTAAATCTAATAAACTGCTAACATTTTAGGTTTTCTTTTCTGATTACATGTTAGTGTTGTTTTAAACCGTTATTTCATTTGCAAAGGTTTGTCGGTTCTACATGTGACCAATTCATTTTCATGTATGCCTGGTTTGGTTTCTCTTTTTATATTTTTCTCTGTCTTTGCTTTCTAAGAAAAATTATTAAAAATAAATTTAGGACATTGTATTTTTATATTATTTGTTTGTAAAAGTAGTTTCTATATATATGTCTACTTTTAGAAACAAATATGTCTTCTTGCTCTATACTTTACCTATAAATATGTCTTATTTTCTCTCTTTCATATGGGAATTATTTTTTTATGGAAATTGTAATGTAGGTTTGGGACTCGGAAAAGAGGCTCTTGTCTCATGTATATGTCTTTAAAGAAGAGATTACTTCTTTTGCAGTTATGCAAACTGGTCCCTACATGCAAGTCTAACTTCGGTTCTTTGCTCTACTATAGGTTTTTTCAACTTTCAAGAGAGCACATGCGACAATTGAATTTATCATATCGATTTAATTTCTGAATTTGTAGGTATGTTGGAGACTCTGATGGCAACATCAAGGGTTTTAAGATTGAACAAGAAGTACGTCATGTTATGCAAATGAAATACACTATACCTTTCTCAGCTTCTCACGGTAAGTAGATGTACATATCAGCTTAAGATTTGAAGTGTGTTAAGCATTATCGTGCATCGTAATCTTTTAACAAATAAACTTGACAAGGCTCAAGCCTTACACCTTTGGGACGTTCTTGTTTACTCTCTAGTCTAGGCTTGATGACAGTGACATCATTATGCTCTCCTTGACTACAAAATCCTCTTAAATGAATAAAGGATGCCAAACTTCAGAGTTGACCGTTTATTTGAAAAACATAAAGCTCTGTGACCTCAATACTATCCCTGATTACATGGTATATTGTTCATGTGTTAGTTCTGTTGCTGTCATTCTGAGAATTCTTGAAGTTTACTTTGTGGTTTCATGTATTACATTACTGATATATCAAACTTGATTGACCATCTTATTTAGGACATCCAACTGAAGTTTTAGCTGATAGGGTTGTTATGTCTATACTTCCTCAGCCAACAACTGAAAGTAAAAGGTACTCTTACTTTCTCATTCTGTTAATTTTCGTTTATAATTTAAGTTCCGAGGAGATGTCGTTTTTCAAGTACCCTTTGACTCTTACTTGTAATATTTAGAGATGGTTTTATGATTTTGTGGGAAATTTAGAAAGCCATGCAACCCGACGGTTTAAACACTGAAAAATGCCTTGTAACACATAATGGAAGAAAAAACAACTGCTCAAAGTTTGAAAAGACCGTTCCGTATGCTTTAGTTATCCCAAGTGGCAGGTTTGAGTTATCTAATTAAGTCTTCAACATTTGTCTTTTGATCTGATGTTAATAGTTAATGAGCTCTTTTATCTATCTTTGCACTGGCAGTAATAGGTTCTTTTATCTAATGAAGTCCGATAAATGAAAATATAATTAAACAGAAGTCCTCATTTCCCACTCCACTCCCTGGCTCATGAAAGTGGTGCCAAACAGGTTAGAAAAGGATCAATTAAACGTGCTTGGGCAGTAAAGTTGACTACAAGTTTGAAAAGTGAAAAAACCTCAAGTTGTAAAAAAAAGATGAAAGTTTCTTTTAGTGGTGACACAAAAAGTGTGTTGGCTGAAGATCAACAGCAACAAGGAAATAGAAATATGGCTTTAGAAAGACTAAATGAAAAGGTTAATGGGAGTCCCACTATTGGAATTTCATATGGTCATGGTTCAACAGTATATAAGTTGCCTTTAGCAAATGAAGCGACGTTGTGTAAATGTGAGACCATTACAAATAAAACACAATGTTTTTTGTCTTTCAATAGAAGACTTTGAGGTTTAGTATTTCCTGTAAAGTCTATGATATGACTAAAATTGCCCATCTTTTTAATCAAATTGATGAAGTTTATTTGCTATATAAAATTGCAGGCTACAGGAGAGATGGTTAATTACTATGAAGGCAGACTTGTACCTCAAGATTACAATGGTGGCTCTAAGGTCATACATTCGCACAAGAACTGCAGTGAATGGTAAAAGTGTTCATAACCGAATATGCTCTTTCGGTATTGTTTCAATAATTTTAATATATAATAATGTTATTTTTTTCAGGGCTCTTAATGTTTATTTTGAAAATGAACTCCAGAAGTCGAAAAATAAAATGCTCCTGTTGCGAACTCAAAGGTGCATCGTTTGGCTGTTTCGAAAAGAGTTGTCGTAAGAGTTTCCATGTTCCCTGTGCAAAATTAGTCTCACAATGTCGGTGGGATACTGTAAGTGATACAAATTGGGCAGTTTTCTAGACTTCATATGATTTTTTGGGAAGTTAAAGACTACGTTCCTTGTTAACGAGTGTATATTTATTTTGGATCACAATAGGATAACTTTGTAATGTTGTGCCCTCTCCATGCTTCTTCTAAGTTGCCTAATGAAGAGTCAGAATCTCAAGGAAGTAGAAAAACAAGTGTTTTAAGAGGGTATACTGAAGTTTCATCCAGTTTATTCTAGTTTCTTTACAAACTTCACCTTTTCATGCTCATGGAATTTTCATTAAGTTATTGCTTCATTTGTAGACATTTGTCAGTCACAACAAGGAATATCCTACAACCGAAGAAGTCAATAGGCAGAAGAAAAAGAATCTTTGTGAATCGCGCGACAAATTGGTTCTCTGTTTCTCAGCTCTCATAGTTGAAGAAAATGTAAGTGTCACAATCTATTGTCCTTATGCATTTTTGCTTTTTCATTCACATTAGGAAAATCCTTGACATTTACTATAATATTATTTATTTAAATTAAAATATCATAAATTAAATTAATTTATTCTTAATTTAAATTAATTAATTTATAAATATAATAAGGATTAAGATCCACTTATATTGTGTAAAACTCTTTTAGGTTTGCATCTTTTTAGTCTCATTGGATTGAGAGAAATCAAAGGTTGAGATTAATTCGTTTTTTAGTGAATATCTGTTCATTTTCCATGGTTAATCTTAGTCTTTAATTTCTTTCATCCAATACTCCTAAACTGATATAAATTAAAGAGTTTTACACACTATAATTGGATTTTGCCCCCATATAATAATATTAATATTTAAATTATAATTTTAAATTATATTAGTATATTCTTAAATTAAATTGATTTAAATTATTATAATATTATTTAAATATTTTTATATAATTTATTCTTAAATTATATTAATTTTTATATAATTTCACTCTTTCTTGCACCCCTACCCTCCTGCATTGCCAGGGGTGGGGCTGCATGAAATAATATATCTGACATTGAAGATTTAATGCAGAAATCCAAAGGTGAGGAGACTGACGAGCACACTCTAGCAATGCTTAAGGCAGAGAAAGAAGACTAGAATCACCACTTCACAATGAGAAATGGTTGTCTGTCCAGCTAAAGCAAGAACTAGCATATGCAGAGGCTTAACGCAGACATGTACAAGGTATAATTTTATTAATTTATTCTTAAATTAAATTATTTGTATAATTTATAAATATAATAATAATATTTAAACTATAGATTATAAAATATTATAAGAATATACTAATTTAAATTATATCAAGGGTTTGGTGGTCAGTTTTATTCACTCCTTTGGACCATCACTGTTGAAAGTAAAATAATTCATGGTTAAGTTTAAAACTCCTATTGTGAAGGTATTACTGGCGAGAATTTACATGTTCAATATTTTGCAGCAAGCTTTCTTGTTGTTTATGCTCTCTCTTTTTCGCACAGGCTTCTCACATGGTCAACAATATGAAGGAAGAGATACCATATTATTCCATGCCGGAGTACCATTCTCGGAAGGAAAGTTTGGGTGGTAATACAAAGGGCAAGATCATTAAGTATCGTTTTTTATTTCTATCCCTTTATTTATTTATTATGCATATATGAAATGAATATGCTTTAGCTTCATATATTAGACAAAAGAAATGAAAAACAAGATGCTTTGTTTCTATCCTATCATGATCCTTGATATGTGTAATATTTAGAGAAAATATAGAAAGACTATGAGGTTAGAAATGCATGTGTTTACACATATTTCATCTATCTTGATTTTTTCTTTTCTCAATCTTGTACATGTGTGTGCCTATGAAAGCATGCAAGCTGGTATGTATCGGCTTAAACATTTAGGAATCACACAACTAACAACTCTAACCAGTGCTATGAGTCAACTCTTGCTACTGCATCAAACATTGAATTGGAGCAGCAGATAACTCCATGGAATCTAAGTGGCAATTTTGTTGCATGTACAAGCCAGGTAAAATGTTACTTCTACTAGTAAGGAAGTACTAATGTTTTTGCGTTTCAAAAAAGCTATAAATCAACAAAATCACATATTTTGAAGTTGACATTTCCAATCATATTCTATAAAATTATATTAATATATTCTTAAATTAAATTAATTTAGATTATTCTAATATTATTTAAAATATTTTTATAAAGCATTTTCCGTACATTGCTTATAGTGTTTTGATTTGTTTCCCTTATTGAATGGTTTTCAAACTTAGATTTATTAATTTATTCTTAAATGAAATTAAATTATTTATATAATTTATCAAAATCATAATATTAATAGTAATATTTAAACTATAAATTATTATATATTTATTTTTGGGGGATTAAAATTGTTTGTGCTTGAAATGCTGGCGTTGGGGGCTTAATATATGGGCTTTGTTATTAGTCTTAATGTACTTTTAGATTGAAATCTTAATTAATGGCATGCAATTGCTTGTTCTTTTTGAGATTTTTCATAGTTCCTATGCAGTTTCCGCCCAAATTCGTAAAAACTTGATTGTTTGTGTAAATTTTGTTAGAGGAGTAAAGTTTCTAGGTAGTTGAGGATTTGATCGGCTAATGATATGTAATTTGAAAGCTGATTGTTACACTTTTTTTCAGGATGGTTATAATTCGGACAAGCAAAGCAAAATACTGTTGATTTTATTGTTTGTGTGAGTTCCTAACCTTTTCTTTGTATGATTAAAGAACTACTTTTAAAGTATGATGTTTATGCTAGTACCATGGTGGCATAATCACTGTCGATTTTGATTCATTTTGAACTGTTAAGATTGTCCTTGCGGATAATACTCTCTAATGGATGTAAATCAGTAATAAGTTGCTTTGGTTTGCTAATTTCCTCTATGTGTTTGATAACGATTTCTTTTGATTTTTATAGGTGCAAAATCTTCTTCAACAAATGATGAGTTATAATTGGACCCTTTTTTGTTAGATTTTTTTATTTGTGTTGACGGAATTTTGTTTGCAGCAATCTAAGTTTCAAACAATGTATGGTTCTATTATCACCAGAAATATCCTTTCAAATGTTCTTACATAAGAAAAACTTTTGTCAACAATGTCTGATTAAGTAAATAGTTTATCGTAAATGTTAGTATCATTTAACGATATTTCTAGAAACCTAGAAATGGAGAAGATCTATAGCCGAAAAATGATGCCTTTTTTCTTCTATAATCCTATGGACGTAATGGACGTCAGGTATAACTAGAATGTACAAAACACCCCCTCATCGCAAATAGGCGACGAGGGTCAAAGCTCAGCTTTGATCCACCACCGGGATACGTTACAGACTTACTTCTTACTAAATAATTTCTCTTTCCTGTTGAGCTTCTAGTTCTATTGTTACATAAATAGATTGAATTGTGTAAATTAGCCTTTAGTTTAGTTATACATTTGAGACACTCTTTTCCTTCTTTCTATGTTTATTGAGATACCTTCTTGTATTTCAATGGATATGAAGTGGGTTTTTAATGAGGCTTCCCTTTCTTATTGAAAAAAGTTTAGATATGCATTTGCATGAAATCATAGACTATATTGACTAAGATTCTTTCTGAGATAGTGATGTGAACCTATAGCTAATAGTTGCATTGATGGCCAAATTTGAAGTACGAAACTTTCTTATGTTTCAATGGTTTAGCATTATTTTTTAAGTGAAAATAGTTATGCATTACTGTCAAGTATGGGACAGTAAATGTAGTTCATTGCCTAACCCTTGCAAGGAGAACACTCGAGACTCGAAATCTGTATTCAATATCAATTCCATTTAAGCTTAATTGAAAATCTATGGTTGAACTTGAAATCCTCTGATACAAAGCACATACTCTGAGTATGTCTTGAATGCTTCTGTTTTATATATCTGCCATTGAAGATTTAATGTGTTCAGATTCACATTTTCTGTATCGTTTGGTTTATTTATTTCACTTAAGTATTGAGTGCATGCAGAAATCCAAAGGTGAGGAGACTGACGAGCACACTCTAGCAATGCTCAAGGTAGAGAAAGAAGAACTAGAATCACCCATCCACAATGAGAAATTGTTGTCTGTCCAGTTAAAGCAAAAACTAGCATTTGTAGCAGAGGCTTAAAACTCAGACCTGCACAAGGTATAGCTTTTTCAGATGTATTATGATGGGCCACATAGTTCTTCGACTATTTTAATTGTATAAGTTTGGGAAAGTAGCTTAGAAATTTTACTTACTAAATTCCTTTTGCATCTTAGGAGCTCCAATCCGTACGCGGTCAACTTGTCTTGAGCAGTGAAGATGTTTCAAATTAGAGATATACTTGAAACAAGGGAACAATGGTACGTTGCTTAATATGTTTTGATTTGTTTCCCTTACTGATTGGTTTTCAAACTCTGATTTATTAATTTATTCTTAAATAAAATTATTTATATAATTTATTAATATAATAATATTTAAATTATAAATTATAAAGTATCATAAGAATATATTAATTTAAATTATATTAATATATTCTTAAATGAAATTAATTTAAATTATCATTGTTTGATTTGGATAATAATTATCATTGTTTGATTTGGATAATATATTCTTAAATTAAATTATATAATTCAAACTCAGATTATTAATGTTAGATTTGGATAATGATTATCATTGTTTGATTCAGATTATGATGTGAATTGTGACTTTATAGATTTTAAAGACATGATGTGTTAGATGATGTGAATTAAAATGTGATTTGTATAATGTTTGATTCAATGTGTTTCTCTGTACGGTGCAATATGTTTTTTGTTAGTTATCTGATTGATTGACATTTTTCTTTGTTTATTGTGAGCATAACTGTTTTGAGATTATTGATTGTATGGTATTTTGTTTGGAAAATGTCTTGTGAAATGTTGATATATCGAACTTAGAAATTAGGCAATGCATTTGGATTATTTATATATGTTATATTCTTACATTCGGATAAAATTAGAATTCTGATTATATATGTTGTCAAGTTATATAAGGATGTCACTTTGGATTCAGTGGCCTCAGCCTTTGTGGCAGACCCAACTTCGGATGATTTGTAAGGTGTACCGGTGCGTGATTATTTGCATAATATTCGAACAATGATTATTATTGCTTGTTTTAGATTATTATTTGTATAATATTCGACGGTGTGTAAGGTGTATGGATGCATGATCATATGAATAATATTTCGATTATGACTATTATTGTTTGGTTAGCCCTTAGAATATTTTATCAATGTGTCTTTATAGGGTGCTATATTTTTTGTTTGAGTTATTTGATTGAGTGATATTTTCTCTATTTATTGCAAGTATGAATGTTTTACGATTATTGATTTTTTGGTATTTTGTTCAAAAAATGCTATGTGAAATGTGTTAATATATCAAACTTAGAATTTATACGATGTATTTATATTATTTGTATATTGTGTTGGGACTGATAGGGAAGTCCAGTGTATTTACTCGATGGAGTGAATGTCGCTTCGGATTTAAGGGCATCTGCCATTTTGGTGGATTTCACTTTCGATGGTGTGTTATAATTTCAGTGCTTTTGGGAAACTTAGTTTTTGAATGATGTGCAAGGGTGTAGGGGCATTATCATTTGTATAATATTTTGTTGGTCTCTGTTAGAATATTTTGTTAAGGTGTGTGGGTGCATGATTTTTGGTTGATTTGAACAATGATGTATAGGGGACAAAGTGTGTTGGTACACCTCGACAAGATGACAACGACGATGACGATGATCAATGCCTACGACCTCGTTGTACTTGACGAGCCCCGTAGTATTATCATTCGACCACTCTTGGATATCGTCAAGAACTTAAAAGAGTATGATTTACTTACATTATGTAAAACTCTTTTAGTTTTACACCTTTTTATTGCCATTTGATTGAGAGAAATCAAAGGATGAGATAAACTCGTTTTTTTTAGTGAATATCTGTTCATTTACCACGATTAAACTCAGTCTTTAATTTTTCTCATCCAATGGCCCTAAAATGATGTAAAACTAAAAGAATTTTACACAGTGTAATTGGTCCTGCACTATGTAATAATATTATTAATTAAATTATATATTAACATATTCTTAAGAAATGTACCCCTTGACTCTATTAAACAATTCTTTGGATTCTCAGGTTAGTTTCTTTACCCAATTCTTTAATAATATGACTAAATTGAGATAATATGTAAATAATATGGATCGAATGTGTGATTATATTAAAATATTTAACTACCACGTCAACTAATCTGTTAAATGTTAACTCATGGTGACCACATATTAATTAAATAAAAACGAAAGTTACCATCTATTATGTTTTTTTGAAATAAGTGAGGGAAAATTGGCAAAACACAAGCATAAATGATTAATCATGTAGTTAACATTTTTTTTATTTTTATCTGCAAATTCAAATATATTCTTTTATCGATGAATTATAGAAGTAAAATTATATGAATATGATAAATGTCAAGCATTGCAGAAATGCAAAGCTTAGAAATCTCAAGAAGAAACAAGAAAACGTTTATTGAATTAATCTGCTTTACACATCACCTTTGTCTACTACTTATTTGTTGCCCTGAAAATATTCTTCATTTGGTGTTTTACATTTGTGCTTCTCTTCCACTATGTTGCAGAGTGCAATCCTTGCCTTAGATGATACAGCATTAGACCCTGATCAGATTGAGAACCTTATTAAGTTTTTTCCTACAAAAGAAGAGATTGAATTACTCAAGGTATTGAATATATGCGTTTCTATTATTCTCTATCTGTGCTCTTGAAGTAATAGTTTTCAGATTGTAAGACTTTTAGATGCTCATAACAGAGTAGATGGCATCGTGTACATTATGCAAATAATCACGTTTGAGGTGATGATTATATTTTTATTTTAAGGGTCATACGGGAGACAGGGAAAACTTGGGAAAATGCGAACAGGTCAGCAGAGTATCTTTGGGTTGTACACGTTTCTTTAACAATTTAGTTTGCATATAATTTGATTACTTGCTCAGTATTTGGTGACAGTTTTTTCCTAGAATTGATGACAGTGCCACCAGTAGAGTCTAAGCTAAGAGTTTTCTTATTCAAAATACAATTTTATTCCCAGGTATGAGGAGAACCTGTGTACTCAGATTGGTATGAGATGCTTTCTACTGTTGTTGTCACCTAATTGGTACTTCTTGCACCTTTGCAGGTTTCTGATCTTAGAAATAGTTTGGACATTGTAAACTCTGCTGTTGGAGAGGCAAGTTAAGCTTTTTTTGGACATAAATTAGCTTTTCCAATTAAAGGTATTATTTCTCCTGAAGATTTTAGTCATTTAAACCATTTCACCAATGCATTCACCAGGTGAGGAATTCGGTCAAATTGAAAAGGATCATGCAAACTATTCTTTCTCTGGGAAATGCTTTGAACCAAGGAACTGCTAGGGGTGAGTGATTTAACTGAGGAGGTATATTTTATTAATAGATGAAGAACTATCTTATTTTAGTCATCTTTTTGTATCCCATTCTGCTTAGATAAATTTGTTAATGGGAAACAAGGTCAGTCTTTTCACTGCTGATTTGCCTTCTGTTATTCTTCTTGAATGAGTTGTGTATTTTCACTGTTTCCTTATTGTTAATTGAGTCTCTTAAATGTTTAACACGGTCCTGTAATCCTGTATTTTTACCTTAACTGCTAAGAATAGAAATCGAATCCCTAGATGTCATATCTGTACAAATTTTTCAAGAAGCATCAATTTGCTCCAAACATTTCAGTAATTTATGGTTCGTCCCCACAGGTTCTGCTGTTGGTTTTCGGTTGGATAGTCTCCTTAAACTCACAGATACACGAGCTCGGAATAAAAAGATGACTCTCATGCATTATCTTTGTAAGGTACAAGACCATCTACCTTAATTTTCTTGATTCTGATCTTTCCTGTTAAATTTGTTTGAATAACTTGAATATTCTTGTACTCCTACACTTATGTTTCAAGATGGAATGCCTGTCTTATTGTACCAAGTAAAATGCTTGAATGCGTGCAGACATTCACTGCATCCTTTTTCAATTTTGTTGAAGACTAATTTTCAAATTTAAAGGTTACTAATATCATGAAAATTATTGCAGAAAATGCATGGTATGTTGGGTTGTTTTACTTTTGCAATCATTAACTTATTGCCATTGTAGAAAATGCTTTTATTGACATTGCAAACCATACCTTATTATATGTGAGAATGTCGATTTATACTTTACTCTTTACGGCCTCTAACTTTTAGGTCCTGAGCCAAAAGTTGCCAGAATTAATAGATTTTCCAAAAGACCTTGCGACTTTGGAATCTGCAACAAAGGTAAGATTTTTATGGCCTTTTCAGGTCATATTTAAATTGCTTAACCTTTTCCATGTGATGTTAAGCAAAATTATTGATTACCATGCAGGTACAATTGAAATGTTTGGCAGACGAGATGCAAGCCATTAGTAAAGGGTTGGAGAAGGTCATCCAAGAACTAGCTGCCTCGGAAAAGGATGGTCCAGTGTCTGCAACATTTTGTAAGGTATTTCCTATATATTAAATTGTTATTTTGCATATCAATCAGGTTCTGCACATTTACATGTTGGTTGGATTTTCTTCTTATATTTCATGCAGTGCCTGTTAGGGACACCACAATCTTGGCTTTCCAAGTCTCCAAACCAGCTCTCCCCCCGCGCCCCTTCCCTTAACTAAAATACATAATCTTTAAAGAGGAACAAGATGGTGCATTAAAGTTCTCAATCAGGATCTTTAGTAATTATTAGGTCAGTTTTGGCCTTTGCAGAAGCTAAATGGGAAGTTTAACTCAACATTGGTTAAAAGAAACTTGATTAGAGCTGTTTTGATCCGAGACTTTGATCAAAATCTCTTGAGCTTTAATCTCATGCAATAGTCTATGATTCAGCGTTGGCTTTTGATAAAAATGGACTGCTGTGAACAGCCTTCCGAATTATTTTGCCAAATATTCATTCGTTTTGACACCTATGTGCCTAAAGGCAGCACTTCTTCAGCCTTCAAAATGTTCAAGTGCTAATCAAGAGTACCATGACCATTGAGCTACTATACAACTCTATCTCTTGTCTCGGGAATCATATTTCGTTTGGATCAGTCTTCAAATAACTTGTGCTCTCTCTAATTCTCATTTTTCTTGTTCTTCATATTTCTCTAACAGTAAATGCTTTTATTTATATAATCTTCAGACTGTAAAGGAGTTCCTTAGTTTTGCTGAAGGGGAAGTCAAGTCTTTGACTGCGCTTCATACTTACGTGGTATGCATTATGTTAAGGAGGCTTTATTCTTGCATATTTGATGTGCCACCAAGAAAACAAATTCATAAGCATCTCTAAATTGATGCCTTCAGGGTAAAAATGCAGATGCATTGGCTCATTATTTTGGAGAAGATCCTGCACGTTGCCCATTTGAGCGAGGTGGTTGTTTGGTCTTAATAAGTCCAATTAATGTTTAACCCTGCATCATTTTAGGACCCAAAAGTTATCAAGTCAACACTTCGTTACTTTTGATAATGGAAATATAATGGTTTTCTTTTATGGTACTAATATTTCTACTTATCCCCGAAAGCAATAATTTGACTGATGTTGTCCTAAATGATGGCTGTGACCCCTGCTTGATCTATAACCAATTGTCGTTTTCGCATCAGGATGCTATCAAGGTCACTTTGGATGCCTACAGTAAAGTTGATCTACTTTGGATATCATAGCTAGCATTTGTGCTAATATGTTCCCATCTTAAGTAATTTGTGCTTTCGGAAAACTATTAGCACCCTTGTGAATCTCAGCTGCAGTTTTATCTCTAGAGTGTATTTTACTCAGATTTATCACTTTCCCTTTTGTCTGCAACTTTTTCTATAGTCATGGCTACTCTGCTCAGCTTTTCGAGGATGTTTGTCAAAGCACATGAGGAAAACTGCAAGCAACTTGAAAATGATAAGAAGAAAGCTAAGGAGGCAGAAAATGAGAAGCCAAAAAATTAGTACTTCCATGAAGGAGTCTGAAGCTCTCAGCACTTGATACAAGGTCCAATCGCGAGCACTGCTATTCAATGATGGATTCTACCGCTTAACTTGACATTCTGAATGTTTTGCTCAGTGGAGGGAAAACTCTTGGAAGCTTAGAGCACAAATGTATCGGAGAAGAACGCGTAGTCTAAGATGAGACTGCGAGAATGAGGAGTTGTAAATTTCAAATACATGCAGGTGGTGAATGGTGAGTCCAAATACTAATTTCAAATTGTAAGTTATTTAACTGCATTAATTCTTTAACATGTTTTCTGGTTTTGGAGCAGAACCGATGGATGAGGTTCATATTAGGTCCTCTCAAGCTACTTGTACGGTGCCAAAAAAGCTTTGTTGTAAAATATATAGGAACACAACTTTATATAATAGTTTTACTTTTGTTCTCCTTTTCAGTATATATATATAAACATTGTGTAAAATTTTAGTCAAAAGGAATGCAAGTGTGAATACTTTTTAAGAATTGGTTGTAGATTATCATCGATACAAAATAATAGCATCTTCTCTTGTATGAAGTTGGGTCTCAACACTCAAGTGTACATATGGAGCTACCAACCTACGAAAAGCCAACTCATTTCTGGATTAGTATTCCTAATTTTAACAGTGATAATATATAACTCGGTATATAGCCTTTTGACTGTCATGGACCGGACTGACCAGCTGGCACGATACTGCTTAGGGTGGTTGAGAGTACCTTCCCAGTTGGCCAGGCTGTTCCACTGACTATATTAGATCACTCATCAGTATAAAGAAAATGAATTTCACAAAATGAAATGAGGCTTTGCCAACTCAATTGACGATGAACAAAACATATTCCTTGAAAGTCTAGTGATGAAGAAACCGAATTATGTTGTCGGAAATAGGCGTAGTTAAAGTAACAAAATTGTTGTATGTCGGTAACTCAGACCAGAGTCCGGGTTTTATAATAACCTCTAGCATTTTAGTTTCTTTTCAAGTTAATGAGATTGATGGTTTAGGCAGTCCAGCAGTTCGGGAGCGGGCAACTGCAGCGGCTAAAGCATAAGGAAATTTAGTTGCCGAAGAAGACAATGATTGTCCTCCTGGTGATGTAGAACAAACATCATGATTGTGCTGTCCATATGTTGCCATCACAATTCATCCTCCACGCATCGCTGAACCTATAAACAAAGATCCCAAAACAAGTTCAAGAAACAAGCTCAGTTTGAGCATATAATTTTACTATATACCTTCTTTTGACCGGACATCCAGGAGCCACAGAGCACTTGAAATAAGCTCGGGGTGAGGGTTTGTTTTTAGTAACTTTCTGGCCATATTTCCTCCATTGAAAACCATCTTTAACTATCTGAAAATCTAGCTGTTACACACAGTAATGCTAAGAAAGTAGCTTGTCTCTAGGGTCCGTTTTCACAAAAACATGTGACGCCTTAGCAACTTGAGGCCTTGCTCCCTTGTTTGATTCTTGGACATAGGCTTCGTGAAGCACTTATACTTGCTGCTCATTGCTTCTAACAATAATCTAAGCCTTTGGTTCTCTTTCTGCAAATTTTCCAACTCTGTTTCCACCTGCAAATTTTTCCTAAAATTTATCACAAAACTCTCTATAAGGAAGATGCATATCAAAGATGACAATATTCATAAAGTAATAATCAACCTTCCTTTGTTAAAGTGTGGTGCATCCATGATAGTAGGTGAAATTAAAAGCAAAATCTTATTGATTTATATCAATGAAAACGAGAGTGGGTTCTGGAAATATTTTCCAAAGTGGAAAAGCGAATTGAGCCTTCCTTTCTAGTTTTCAAAGAGATTTTTTCAGTGTTTCATAATCATGGCCATAGGTATCTAATAAAGTGTATATGGGAATTGATAACGCAATGGGTAGACATCATGTGACTGAAGTAAGCACTTAGATCTTAATTAATTATTTGAATGCATCACTTTCTTGTTTGTTTTTTTGCACCAACTTTGCTGGTTATGACTTATGAGGTCCATGGTGTTAGTGGACAGATGTAGACAAACTCGTGGACTTTGAGCTTTCCCGTCTTCGTTAATTTTCTCTTTTCTTTTCCGAGAAGAAAACGAGTGATGACCGATTAACACGAGTCATTTAAACGATGGCCCGTTGCCTTGAGGGAATCTCTATTTTGGCCCAAACCGGGAAAAGTAAGTATATATAGACAAGTTATCAGCTGGCAGCTGCGAAGTTTGAATATAAAGAAATTGATTGACAGAGTAGTACAAGTCTCTGTACTATATGTATCATTTCATTTCAGTCCCTATACTTTAAAAATGACATTTTAGTCTCTGTATGTTAATTTATTCATTGAACGGCTTATGATTTGTATGTAATTGAGAAGGGAAGCTCTGATAATATTTGGACTGCAATAGAATATTCTTTTCACATTTTCAACTGAGCCAAGAAAAAAGAAGATACAAAAACTATGACTTTCTTATCATATTTGGTTTACAACTCGGCCTGAAATGGCTGCAGCAAGAGCTACTGTGAAATGAGGGTCTCTAGTCAAAGAAGCAGCCATTTAATGAACTAAGAGTTGGTGGATAGCTGGTGCATCAATTAGTTGAGCTGGATTTTGGGTATCATCCCCAATCCAGCTAGTTGCATCAAATCAAGAGTGACCCTAGGAGCTGAAGCTTTGGTTTGGGCAGATGCTGAACCCTGTTGCTGCTGGGCTTAATGATCCTTGTTCTGCCGGAGCATTATGGTCGTGGTTGTGCGCTCCTTCATATGTAGCCACTAATACCGATGGGTCTTCAGCACTTCTTTGCACCTGGAAACCAATACCGAAAACAACAATCAGAAACAAATATTGTTTCTAGACCTGTCAATTCGACCCATAAGATCAGCCTGAATTCAAATACCCGATACAATCAGGAGCAAGACTCACCTTTTTCTTAACTGGACAAGTTGAGGCAAAGGAGCACCTGAAATATGCTCTCGGACAGGGGTTATCTCTTGTGACCTTTTGACCATATTTCCTCCACTGATATCCATCCCTCACAATCTGTAAACATCCATCATTAGAAGATTCAATCTGGGAAGAAATATTGAACAGCGGGGAACCTACCAGGCTGGTATCCGAGGGATTTGTGGGGACTAGAACCCTTGATATATTGGGTTTAACACACTCCTTGGGCTTTTTGCTCCACTCTTCATGGCTAGAGCTGCTCTCACTGAATCCAATCACGTGGTTCGTGTAATCCTCGCACTCTGATTTTCTCTTCTTTGATGGAGCTTCGTTTTCATAGGTCTTGCTCTTTACTTGATTGAATTGGTGCTGCAAAGCGTAGTATTGTTCGCATAAAACTGTTAGCATCTCGGTTAGCCTCTTGTTCTCGGCGCTCACCCTATTCAATTCCTCCACCAAAACTCCACTATGTTTTAAAGATAACATTCACATGAGTGTTTACACACTTGTATTTGTCAAATACAATTAACTTGCCTTGAAGTTTAAACTGGCCTCATCTTTAACCGGAACCTTAACACCAGAGTCGGCCACATCTCCCTCGAATTCTCGTTTCTGGTTTAAAAAAAAGTTTCAACTTTTTGTAAGTCCAAGTCCAGCACTACAATAAAAAACAAGCTTTGGAGGAAGGAAAGCCAGACTCACCATAGCTTTATTGTTGCGAGATTGGCAAGGATTGATGTTAAGATCCAAAGTAGTATCCACCCAAGCCGAGTCCATAACTGGAAAATCGTAGTATAGAAGAAGCAAAAGCAAAGAGGAGAGAATAATAAAACCCAGGAATAGGGAAATAAAATATATAGACTCGAGAGAGAGAGAGAGAGAGAGAGAGAGAGAGATGTTTCAAAGGAAAGTTGGTGGAAGATGATGAGGATGAATTGAGCTAAAAGGTTTGCAAACATAGATAGATAGATCCCACTATCCCTCGAGTTGGCTGTTAGTGTCAGCTAAAACATTGAAATTTGAAAGTCAATTCCCAATCAGATGATTGCAATTTGCATTACCTTTTTTGAACTTCAACACTAAAACCATAAGCTTCGCCTTCTTGACCTCAACTTTCTGCCTTCCACCTTCTTTCCTTTTTAATTTCCCGAGCTTTAATATTAACTATAGTAAAAGTAATTAATAATATACATGGGTTGCCACGTGCTGACGCCGTTTTATTTGACACACATTGTATTTTTGTATTGATCTGGGTAAATACAAGGCGATAAACTAGCTAGAAAGGATATTTGTAGTGATATAGTAGAATATATTAAGAGACTAGATGTAGGAAGAAAGAAAAGTTAAATAATGTTTCAATTTCTTGGTCTTGGTCTGGTTAAATTGACCCATAATTTGACTACCAATACTCGATTAAAACCCCATGTGAAGTGAAGTGAAGCAGTTACACCTCTTTTTAATCTCCAATTTCCTTCATCAAAAGTAGGATTCAATGTCAAATGATTTTGGCCAGAGAAATATTATAAAAGACGCAGAGCCAAATGCCAATGAAGCATTGGCTTAATGGCAAGGTTGAGTACTTGAAAAATTTTGGCTTGAACTCGTACTATGTAAATCATATACAGGTTATCTAATTGAATTATACATTTCAGTTGAATATTCACCATATGTATATCTTATTCAACTTTGAATATATTTCTACTATAAATTTAATATGGTAATAGTTAATTCTAATGATAACGATGAGCCTGGGTGCTCATATTGGGATTCAAACATGTACGAAACCACCGCCGGAGACCAGCTTACTGCAAAACGATGTCTTGGAAGTTAATAGCATCTAAAACTTCAACAAAAGAGGTGGAGCAACACAAAAATTAGACCAAAGGCAAAGTAGTGTGAACAAGTAGGTTATTTGGGCGGCTGGAAATCCGGAATGCGGCCGAAGATGTGATGTTTATTCCTACCAAAGAGTCTAAATTTATAATTTCTTCATACTATATTAACAAACCCTGTTATTGTCGCTCACCTACTTTCTCTCTCTATGTTTACTATTTGTTAGTATAGCTCGAAGATTGATAGGGAGACCAAATGCTTTTCTGGGTTGAAAAATCGACTATTAAATGACTTCAATTACTGCTTAGAAACTTAAAAGGACAACACCACGTCATTGTTTGCGCATTCTCCTTCCAAAACATCTTAAGCGATCGTGTAATTACCATCTGTACTTCAAATTTTTTTCTTGCAATTCCATCAATGTGTCTTTTCTTGACTAGCTTTTGGGTGCTTTTTGAAAGTGTCAAACACGAACTCGTGCTTTTAATTGGACGTCTTAAGCTTAAAAATATTTCTCAAGCATAAAAAAATTTAAATAATATCAAAATTTCAACCGTTTGATATTGTACGTTCATATTATTATTATTTTTTGTGCTTGAACTGAATAACGATATTACTTCTTTCCAGCCTCACGTGCGTTTGTGTGACACCTATCTCACGTAAATATCACCACTTAATTGTTTCTTAGGGTTAGTGGGAGACTTGGTTTGTTTAATATATATGTTTTTTATGATTAGGGTATCATCAACGTGTTTTGTTAGTGTATAATTTAATCTAATATTTTAAAGTTGTGATTTTAGAGACTAAAATGTAAAGATCGCAAAATTGAAAATCTATGAAGCCTATTTTACCAAGGGTTATGATTAGTGTTTTTCCTTCTAAACTAACCGTTGTTGGAAGTCTTGACGATTGTCGGAGTCGGAGCAGCCGTTGTTGCTACCCACTTTATGTTCTGAACACATTTATGAATGTAACGATTTCATTCGTTTTGAATTTTGAGATTTTTCGAATCCATTTTTACGGATAACGAAATGTAACTTCGACGCCTTATATGGCCTTGGCACTTGTCCCTATCTCCCTACAACCAAGGAGTCATTTACTTTCAAATCCAACGGTACTATTTTGTCCGACGCCTTATATGGCCTTGGCACTTGTCCCTACAACTCTACCATTTATTTATATGTTTTCAACAGAGGCAGCTGTCAAGAAAGCAGGTGTGGGTCATTTTCCTCTGCATACAAACAAGGGCCATTGGCTGTAATTTCTATCTGGTCATTTTTTTAATTACAACATTTTGATCATTTCATTAAGAATCTCTAGATTTACATAGTGGAATTCCAACTTTTTTTGGACTTGTTCTGTATTAATTTTGTATAATTTATCTTCCTCCATTGACTTTGGTTACTAAGTGTGTGTGTTACATTATATAATTGAAATTACAGATGGAGAGGGTTTTAGCAAGCAACATGCCAAATAAGGACAGCAGGAAGAAGAATCCGAGTTATGGGTTACAATGGTCGGCTCACTGTTGTCAACATTATATTAATTTTGTATAATTTATCTTCCTCCATTGACTCGGGCTCAATGTTTTAGCTGACACTAACAGCCAACTCGAGGGATAGTGGGATCTATCTATCTATGTTTGCAAACCTTTTAGCTCAATTCATCCTCATCATCTTCCACCAACTTTCCTTTGAAACATCTCTCTCTCTCTCTCTCTCTCTCTCTCTCTCTCGAGTCTATATATTTTATTTCCCTATTCCTGGGTTTTATTATTCTCTCCTCTTTGCTTTTGCTTCTTCTATACTACGATTTTCCAGTTATGGACTCGGCTTGGGTGGATACTACTTTGGATCTTAACATCAATCCTTGCCAATCTCGCAACAATAAAGCTATGGTGAGTCTGGCTTTCCTTCCTCCAAAGCTTGTTTTTTATTGTAGTGCTGGACTTGGACTTACAAAAAGTTGAAACTTTTTTTTTAAACCAGAAACGAGAATTCGAGGGAGATGTGGCCGACTCTGGTGTTAAGGTTCCGGTTAAAGATGAGGCCAGTTTAAACTTCAAGGCAAGTAATTGTATTGACAAATACAAGTGTGTAAACACTCATGTGAATGTTATCTTTAAAACATAGTGGAGTTTTGGTGGAGGAATTGAATAGGGTGAGCGCCGAGAACAAGAGGCTAACCGAGATGCTAACAGTTTTATGCGAACAATACTACGCTTTGCAGCACCAATTCAATCAAGTAAAGAGCAAGACCTATGAAAACGAAGCTCCATCAAAGAAGAGAAAATCAGAGTGCGAGGATTACACGAACCACGTGATTGGATTCAGTGAGAGCAGCTCTAGCCATGAAGAGTGGAGCAAAAAGCCCAAGGAGTGTGTTAAACCCAATATATCAAGGGTTCTAGTCCCCACAAATCCTCGGATACCAGCCTGGTAGGTTCCCCGCTGTTCAATATTTCTTCCCAGATTGAATCTTCTAATGATGGATGTTTACAGATTGTGAGGGATGGATATCAGTGGAGGAAATATGGTCAAAAGGTCACAAGAGATAACCCCTGTCCGAGAGCATATTTCAGGTGCCCTTTGCCTCAACTTGTCCAGTTAAGAAAAAGGTGAGTCTTGCTCCTGATTGTATCGGGTATTTGAATTCAGGCTGATCTTATGGGTCAGAATTGACAGGTCTAGAAACAATATTTGTTTCTGATTGTTGTTTTCGGTATTGGTTTCCAGGTGCAAAGAAGTGCTGAAGACCCATCGGTATTAGTGGCTACATATGAAGGAGCGCACAACCACGACCATAATGCTCCGGCAGAACAAGGATCATTAAGCCCAGCAGCAACAGGGGTTCAGCATCTGCCCAAACCAAAGCTTCAGCTCCTAGGGTCACTCTTGATTTGATGCAACTAGCTGGATTGGGGGATGATACCCAAAATCCAGCTCAACTAATTGATGCACCAGCTATCCACCAACTCTTAGTTCATTAATGGCTGCTTCTTTGACTAAGACCCTCATTTCACAGTAGCTCTTGCTGCAGCCATTTCAGGCCGAGTTGTAAACCAAAATATGATAAGAAAGTCATAGTTTTTTGTATCTTCTTTTTTCTTGGCTCAGTTGAAAATGTGAAAAGAATATTCTATTGCAGTCCAAATATTATCAGAGCTTCCCTTCTCAATTACATACAAATCATAAGCCGTTCAATGAATAAATTAACATACAGAGACTAAAATGTCATTTTTAAAGTATAGGGACTGAAATGAAATGATACATATAGTACAGAGACTTGTACTACTCTGTCAATCAATTTCTTTATATTCAACTTCGCAGCTGCCAGCTGATAACTTGTCTATATATACTTACTTTTCCCGGTTTGGGCCAAAATAGAGATTCCCTCAAGGCAACGGGCCATCGTTTAAATGACTCGTGTTAATCGGTCATCACTCGTTTTCTTCTCGGAAAAGAAAAGAGAAAATTAACGAAGACGGGAAAGCTCAAAGTCCACGAGTTTGTCTACATCTGTCCACTAACACCATGGACCTCATAAGTCATAACCAGCAAAGTTGGTGCAAAAAAACAAAACAAGAAAGTGATGCATTCAAATAATTAATTAAGATCTAAGTGCTTACTTCAGTCACATGATGTCATACCCATTGCGTTATCAATTCCCATATACACTTTATTAGATACCTATGGCCATGATTATGAAACACTGAAAAAATCTCTTTGAAAACTAGAAAGGAAGGCTCAATTCGCTTTTCCACTTTGGAAAATATTTCCAGAACCCACTCTCGTTTTCATTGATATAAATCAATAAGATTTTGCTTTTAATTTCACCTACTATCATGGATGCACCACACTTTAACAAAGGGAAGGTTGATTATTACTTTATGAATATTGTCATCTTTGATATGCATCTTCCTTATAGAGAGTTTTGTGATAAATTTTAGGAAAAATTTGCAGGTGGAAACAGAGTTGGAAAATTTGCAGAAAGAGAACCAAAGGCTTAGATTATTGTTAGAAGCAATGAGCAGCAAGTATAAGGTGCTTCACGAAGCCTATGTCCAAGAATCAACAAGGAGCAAGGCCTCAAGTTGCTAAGGCGTCACATGTTTTTGTGAAACGGACCCTAGAGACAAGCTACTTTTCTTAGCATTACTGTGTGTAACAGCTAGATTTTCAGATAGTTAAAGATGGTTTTCAATGGAGGAAATATGGCCAGAAAGTTACTAAAAACAAACCCTCACCCCGAGCTTATTTCAAGTGCTCTGTGGCTCCTGGATGTCCGGTCAAAAGAAGGTATATAGTAAAATTATATGCTCAACTGAGCTTGTTTCTTGAACTTGTTTTGGGATCTTTGTTTATAGGTTCAGCGATGCGTGGAGGATGAATGTGATGGCAACATATGGACAGCACAATCATGATGTTTGTTCTACATCACCAGGAGGACAATCATTGTCTTCTTCGGCAACTAAATTTCCTTATGCTTTAGCCGCTGCAGTTGCCCGCTCCCGAACTGCTGGACTGCCTAAACCATCAATCTCATTAACTTGAAAAGAAACTAAAATGCTAGAGGTTATTATAAAACCCGGACTCTGGTCTGAGTTACCGACATACAACAATTTTGTTACTTTAACTACGCCTATTTCCGACAACATAATTCGGTTTCTTCATCACTAGACTTTCAAGGAATATGTTTTGTTCATCGTCAATTGAGTTGGCAAAGCCTCATTTCATTTTGTGAAATTCATTTTCTTTATACTGATGAGTGATCTAATATAGTCAGTGGAACAGCCTGGCCAACTGGGAAGGTACTCTCAACCACCCTAAGCAGTATCGTGCCAGCTGGTCAGTCCGGTCCATGACAGTCAAAAGGCTATATACCGAGTTATATATTATCACTGTTAAAATTAGGAATACTAATCCAGAAATGAGTTGGCTTTTCGTAGGTTGGTAGCTCCATATGTACACTTGAGTGTTGAGACCCAACTTCATACAGAGAAGATGCTATTATTTTGTATCGATGATAATCTACAACCAATTCTTAAAAAGTATTCACACTTGCATTCCTTTTGACTAAAATTTTACACAATGTTTATATATATATACTGAAAAGGAGAACAAAAGTAAAACTATTATATAAAGTTGTGTTCCTATATATTTTACAACAAAGCTTTTTTGGCACCGTACAGTAGCTTGAGAGGACCTAATATGAACCTCATCCATCGGTTCTGCTCCAAAACCAGAAAACATGTTAAAGAATTAATGCAGTTAAATAACTTACAATTTGAAATTAGTATTTGGACTCACCATTCACCACCTGCATGTATTTGAAATTTACAACTCCTCATTCTCGCAGTCTCATCTTAGACTACGCGTTCTTCTCCGATACATTTGTGCTCTAAGCTTCCAAGAGTTTTCCCTCCACTGAGCAAAACATTCAGAATGTCAAGTTAAGCGGTAGAATCCATCATTGAATAGCAGTGCTCGCGATTGGACCTTGTATCAAGTGCTGAGAGCTTCAGACTCCTTCATGGAAGTACTAATTTTTTGGCTTCTCATTTTCTGCCTCCTTAGCTTTCTTCTTATCATTTTCAAGTTGCTTGCAGTTTTCCTCATGTGCTTGACAACATCCTCGAAAAGCTGAGCAGAGTAGCCATGACTATAGAAAAGTTGCAGACAAAAGGGAAAGTGATAAATCTGAGTAAAATACACTCTAGAGATAAACTGCAGCTGAGATTCACAAGGGTGCTAATAGTTTTCCGAAAGCACAAATTACTTAAGATGGGAACATATAGCACAAATGCTAGCTATGATATCCAAAGTAGATCAACTTTACTGTAGGCATCCAAAGTGACCTTGATAGCATCCTGATGCGAAAACGACAATTGGTTATAGATCAAGCAGGGGTCACAGCCATCATTTAGGACAACATCAGTCAAATTTGCTTTCGGGGATAAGTAGAAATATTAGTACCATAAAAGAAAACCATTATATTTCCATTATCAAAAGTAACGAAGTGTTGACTTGATAAACTTTTGGGTCCTAAAATGATGCAGGGTTAAACATTAATTGGACTTATTAAGACCAAACAACCACCTCGCTCAAATGGGCAACGTGCAGGATCTTCTCCAAATAATGAGCCAATGCATCTGCATTTTTACCCTGAAGGCATCAATTTAGAGATGCTTATGAATTTGTTTTCTTGGTGGCACATCAAATATGCAAGAATAAAGCCTCCTTAACATAATGCATACCACGTAAGTATGAAGCGCAGTCAAAGACTTGACTTCCCCTTCAGCAAAACTAAGGAACTCCTTTACAGTCTGAAATTATATAAATAAAAGCATTTACTGTTAGAGAATATGAAGAACAAGAAAATGAGAATTAGAGAGCACAAGTTATTTGAAGACTGATCCAAACGAAATATGATTCCCGAGACAAGAGATAGAGTTGTATAGTAGCTCAATGGTCATGGTACTCTTGATTAGCACTTGAACATTTTGAAGGCTGAAGAAGTGCTGCCTTTAGGCACATAGGTGTCAAAACGAATGAATATTTGGCAAAATAATTCGGAAGGCTGTTCACAGCAGTCCATTTTTATCAAAAGCCAACGCTGAATCATAGACTATTGCATGAGATTAAGCTCAAGAGATTTTGATCAAAGTCTCGGATCAAAACAGCTCTAATCAAGTTTCTTTTAACCAATGTTGAGTTAAACTTCCCATTTAGCTTCTGCAAAGGCCAAAACTGACCTAATAATTACTAAAGATCCTGATTGAGAACTTTAATGCACCATCTTGTTCCTCTTTAAAGATTATGTATTTAGTTAAGGGAAGGGGCGCGGGGGAGAGCTGGTTTGGAGACTTGGAAAGCCAAGATTGTGGTGTCCCTAACAGGCACTGCATGAAATATAAGAAGAAAATCCAACCAACATGTAAATGTGCAGAACCTGATTGATATGCAAAATAACAATTTAATATATAGGAAATACCTTACAAAATGTTGCAGACACTGGACCATCCTTTTCCGAGGCAGCTAGTTCTTGGATGACCTTCTCCAACCCTTTACTAATGGCTTGCATCTCGTCTGCCAAACATTTCAATTGTACCTGCATGGTAATCAATAATTTTGCTTAACATCACATGGAAAAGGTTAAGCAATTTAAATATGACCTGAAAAGGCCATAAAAATCTTACCTTTGTTGCAGATTCCAAGTCGCAAGGTCTTTGGAAATCTATTAATTCTGGCAACTTTTGGCTCAGGACCTAAAGTTAGGGCCGTAAAGAGTAAAGTAAATCGACATTCTCACATATATAAGGTATGGTTTGCAATGTCAATAAAAGCATTTTCTACATGGCAATAAGTTAATGATTGCAAAAGTAAAACAACCCAACATACCATGCATTTTCTGCAATAATTTTCATGATATTAGTAACCTTTAAATTTGAAATTAGTCTTCAACAAATTGAAAAAGGATGCAGTGATGTCTGCACGCATTCAAGCATTTTACTTGGTACAATAACAGGCATTCCATCTTGAAACATAAGTGTAGGTACAAGAATATTCAAGTTATCAAACAAATTTAACAGGAAAGATCAGAATCAAGAAAATTAAGGTAATGGTCTTGTACCTTACAAGATAATGCATGAGAGTCATCTTTTTATTCCGAGCTCGTGTATCTGTGAGTTTAAGGAGACTATCCACCGAAAACCAACAGCAAACCTGTGGGGACGAACCATAAATTACTGAAATGTTTGGAGCAAATTGATGCTTCTTGAAAAATTTGTACAGATATGACATCTAGGGATTCGATTTCTATTCTTAGCAGTTAAGGTAAAATACAGGATTACAGGACCGTGTTAAACATTTAAGAGACTCAATTAACAATAAGGAAACAGTGAAAATACACAACTCATTCAAGAAGAATAACAGAAGGCAATCAGCAGTGAAAAGACTGACCTTGTTTCCCATTAACAAATTTATCTAAGCAGAATGGGATACAAAAAGATGACTAAAATAAGATAGTTCTTCATCTATTAATAAATATACCTCCTCAGTTAATCACTCACCCCTAGCATTTCCTGGTTCAAAGCATTTCCCAGAAAGAATAGTTTGCATGATCCTTTTCATTTGACCGAATTCCTCACCTGGTGAATGCATTGGTGAAATGGTTTAAATGACTAAATCTTCAGGAGAAATAATACCTTTAATTGGAAAGCTATTTATGTCCAAAAAAAGCTTAACTTGCCTCTCCAACAGCAGAGTTTACAATGTCCAAACTATTTCTAAGATCAGAAACCTGCAAAGGTGCAAGAGTACCAATTAGGTGACAACAACAGTAGAAAGCACTCATACCAATCTGAGTACACAGGTTCTCCTCATACCTGGGAATAAATTGTATTTTGAATACGAAAACTCTTAGCTTAGACTCTACTGGTGGCACTGTCATCAATTCTAGGAAAACTGTCACCAAATACTGAGCAAGTAATCAAATTATATGCAAACTAAATTGTTAAAGAAACGTGTACAACCCAAAGATACTCTGCTGACCTGTTCGCATTTTCCCAAGTTTTCCCTGTCTCCCGTATGACCCTTAAAATAAAATATAATCATCACCTCAAACGTGATTATTTGCATAATGTACACGATGCCATCTACTCTGTTATGAGCATCTAAAAGTCTTACAATCTGAAAACTATTACTTCAAGAGCACAGATAGAGAATAATAGAAACGCATATATTCATACCTTGAGTAATTCAATCTCTCTTTTGTAGGAAAAAACTTAATAAGGTTCTCATCTGATCAGGGTCTAATGCTGTATCATCTAAGGCAAGGATTGCACTCTGCAACATAGTGGAAGAGAAGCACAAATGTAAAACACCAAATGAAGAATATTTCAGGGCAACAAATAAGTAGACAAAGGTGATGTGTAAAGCAGATTAATTCAATAAACGTTTTTCTTGTTTCTTCTTGAGATTTCTAAGCTTTGCATTTCTGCAATGCTTGACATTTATCATATTCATATATTTTACTTCTATAATTCATCGATAAAAGAAATATTTGAATTGCAGATAAATAAAAAAAAATGTTAACTACATGATTAATCATTTATGCTTGTGTTTTGCCAATTTTCCCTCACTTATTTCAAAAAAACATAATAATGGTAACTTTCGTTTTTATTTAATTAATATGTCACCATGAGTTAACATTTAACAGATAGTTGACGTGGTAGTTAAATATTTTAATATAATCCACATTCGATCCATATTATTTACATATTATCTCAATTTAGTCATATTATTAAAGAATTGGGTAAAGAAACTAACCGAGAATCCAAGAATTGTTTAATAGAGTCAAGGGGTACATTTCTTAAGAATATGTTAATATAATTTAATTAATAATATTATTACATAGTGCAGGACCAATTACACTGTGTAAAATTCTTTTAGTTTTTACATCATTTTAGGGCCATTGGATGAGAAAAATTAAAGACTGAGTTTAATCGTGGTAAATGAACAGATATTCACTAAAAAAACGAGTTTATCTCATC